CATCCAGACATGATCCTTCAAATTATCGTTTACTCCTCTGATTTCCCTCAATTATAATTCACAATTTGTCAAAACCACAGCATTTTATACCTCAAGCGATTCTTCATAGAACAATTTCTCTTTATTCCCTGCCAATTTCTTGAGTGCCTCTGCCTAATGTTTTGTAAGAATAGTTTTATTAGCCTTCCAGAACCACCGTGGAGTCCTATGTAAATTGATTATGCCCACTGCATAAATTATGCCACACTGATAGCATACATACCGTAATGGCAGCTATAATCTGAATACTTCAGCATTCAATAGCTATTATTCACTATATACTAGCTGGGTTAATATCATGGATATGCATGAAATGGAAACATTCAGGTTTTGTTCAGAATTCAAACCACTGCATTCTGGGTATGGTTCTCCAAATAATTTGGCAGCCGAGAAGTTTGGAAACTCCCAGAATTTCCAGCCTTTGGATATATTGGCTTCAAATGTTGGGGATCAAAGTCCCAGTACAATGTTTCTTTAGAGCTGCAAATTGAAAAAGACTGGTCTAAATTACAACTGCCCACACTGTTTCTTTCAATAGTCATAATAAAATAAATCTATCTATCTCTATCTCTATCTCTCTATCTCTCTATCTCTCTATCTCTCTATCTCTCTATCTCTCTATCTCTCTATCTCTCTATCTATCTATCTATCTATCTATCTATCTAAATGGCTGTGTGTATGTTCCAGCATAAAACTCTGGAACGCCTCGAGCAATTTCAACCAAACTTTGTACACATATTACTTACTCCCTGGAAACTAATACCGCGGGAGTAAGACACCCCTAAAGCGCCTCGGTGTGTGTGTGTTCTGTGCCTTAAAATGGTAAAATGGCTTCTACTGTACAGTGCAGTGGAGTTGCCATGGTAACGGTTTCACAGTAGACCACAAAGGGGCTCCCTCTAGTAAGGGGGGAAATCCAACTTTAGAAATTACATTTGGTTAGACATTTTCTCCCTATAAATAAATAAATACCCGGGCAACATCGGATTATCAGCTAGTAGAACATAAAGCAGGGATGACTGTCTCAAATAAGTTTGGATTAATCTAAGAATTTTGATATTTGTTTGATGCAAGCAAATGGTGATACCTTCTAATTTCTCCTTGTTTCCTGTGCTCATTCCAAATATTTTGGTCTATTTAATGGCTGCAAAACTATTCATGATCAAAAGGTACATAGCTTTAAATAGTAATGATGAAAGTAAAATAACTGCAACAAATTTATTACCGAAATCTGCCAATATGTTTACTATACCCACTGTTCTTCAAAAGGAATTGACAAATCTGCTGAGAATTTCCTATGCTGAGGTGTCTCATGATACAGTTGTGGTGCTCATTACGGTGTAATATATAGAACTAAAGGTTATCCATGGAAAGTCTAAAAAGGGGTGATGATGAAAAACAGATACATTTTCAATACAATTCTATAATCAATCAACACCAAATGGGATTTGATATGAAGCACAAATATATTTGTTTCATATACCGTGTACAATTTGAAAATAAAAATAATATTTTGTGAACTTAATACTGTAGTGGCTCCAAACAATTAACTTGCATTTTGTTTAAATGTATTATTAAATGTAATCCCACCATACGTTATTGTAATATGGAAAATTCCATGTCTTGAAAAAGGAGCTTGTCAGAGAAGTGATTTAAGAGCTAACCAGCTACTACCATGATGCAATGATGCACTGATATAATGATGGAAATGAGTCAGCAAGGTTTTTGGCTGTTATCCTTAATAACATAATAAGAAGAGGCCCTGTTAGGGCGTCTCTCACACAGTGTGTTCTTCCATGCTATAATTGTTTACTGGTTGTTTAATTTCTGCTTATATTATATATCTACAGTATTGTATAGTATATATTATTTTGTAGATAAAACCACTATTTTTACAAACCTCTGTTTGCTGTTATTACTCTTGGGTTGTCTCATGTAGTAGTATTCAAACTTTGTGACCAACTTCAGCTCTTCAGCTTTGTTTTAATTTTTCTGACGAAATTACCCATTTTCAGAAACAAATCACAATGATATAGCCCCATAAGTATATATTATCCCACAGGCCTGTCAAACTGGCGGCCCGCAGGCCGGATGCATCATGTGCAGGCCACACCCACCCTGGCTCTGCAAAGGAAAAAAATGTCACAATACGTCATGTGATGCAATCAAGTTTGACACTTGTGCCTTAACAGTCTGGCTATGAATGACTGACTTACTTTACCATTTCATGTTATTCATTCTCCCAATTCAACATAGAAAAAAGTAAATAACTTGATATTTGGTTCTAAAGCCAAAGTTCTTATTGTTTTAAATTAAGGCGATTTAAACATTTCCATTCCTTAATAGACTTTAATATCTCCTGCTCAAACTGTACAAAATATTTATTTCCATAAATAAATAAACATACAAATTCCGTACAGGTTTTTTTAATGTGGGGAAGACATAGCACAGGGTATTATTTAATCACTGGCCAAAACAGAAAATTCAGAAAATTCCCTTTAAATAAAGCTGTGTGGGAAAGATAAAGATGAATACTATTAACAAAGAAGGAATAATTAACACCCAAAGCTGATGTTCTGCCAAAATGACAATTCACATGTGAAGATGCAATCATACAAACATTATGGATACATACATACAATGACACAAATGCATAAGTTGCAGGTTTTGTGTCATTCCATCATCATGCCTGTGTTATTATTTATCCATCTTGCCACCCCCACAGTTACTCCTTAACAAGAGTTTCAACACAACCAAAGAAATTTGTGAATGATATGCATTAGGGACCAAACAATAATAGGCACATAACAATAAAAGAAGTGTGTGAATCCATTATCCAGTGGATTCTTTGTTAGCACATCTTGAGTATAAAAAGAATGTTTCTAACAATTATACTGATTTATTAACCTTCCACATATTAGCAAGATCAATCTTGTCAGATTTATATTTCATAATTCCAACTGAACAGCATTGTGCCACATAATGCAATGGAGCAAAATTAATCAGAAAAAAGCCAAGATGGTCACAATTTGTTACAAATCCCACAAGTGTTTGTCCAGCTCACTCCACTACTTCATATTCCTGGATAATTTGTTCAAAATGCAAAAACAAAAAAGGGTTTATGCTGAAGTCTAAACTATAATGTGGTTACGCAGATTTTGTTTTGGTATTTTTTTATTAACTTAGTAATGGAAATTGTTAACTCAGAGTTTATGGCTATTGTTTCTATGAACACAGCTGCTTTTGGCTTACGCAATAAATTATGGTCAAACCACCAATGACTAAATGGAATTAATGATCCTAATTTATATTTTTAGGGATTGGTATAAAAGATGAATTGGGTGGTTTGTCAAGCTTTTTGTGTAGGCATCTCGGCCAATACCTTTTCAGCCACTCAGCTAGTTCATATGTCAATTTACCTCAAGCTAGACCCCTCTAATTGTGTTGTACTTCTATTATCCCTCCCTCCCTCCCGATCTTGACATATCAAGCTAAGGCAAGCATGTGAATTTAACCTGAGTGGAAAAGACTGTGAAGAGTGTATAGCAGAGGCAAAAACTCAATTGATATACCACTTTCAGAGACCCATATTTAAAAAAAAGACACTATCATTCCCAATAACAGCATGATTGACTCTAAAACTGATTAAACATATTTTGTACATATTTTGTACCACTGCAGCATCTAGTGAGTACCATGATATATTTTGAAGCAGAAGTTTTGCTGATAAAAGACAGATGATCTTTTGCTGCATATTAGGAGGAAGAAGAAGAAATAAACCATTGGGGAATGGCCAGATTTCTGGATTTCTAGATCTAGGATCCAAGAAGGATCCTAGGAACAACTAATGCTCCTCACATTTGGCACAGAGGATCTAGGATGCCAGTGAGGGCTCTCATACCGTACTGTAAAGAGTGGTATAACTGATTTGAAGGCAACTACAATTCTCTGGAACTATTTTCCTTGGAAAAAACAGAACCTGAGCTATTTCCACATAAGTTTTCTCTTTTTTTCTCCTGACTTCAGATGATTTGTCAAATTCATTGTTTTTCTAAGGTGATTCTCTCTTTGTTTTTTATTCAAGATCTGATTTGCATAAATAAAATGAAATTGTAGTTATCAAATGACCCTGAACAGTGAACAAGCAAAATGCTTTAACTAAAATTTCTCAGAGTAAAAGACCTACCAAAATTATTGCTTTCTTTAAATGGAAATGTATTACTCCCTTTTATAGTTTCTCTCAATTGATCCAGTAACACTCTTAGGTACCAAGAATTAAAGAATCCCATGCAAGGAAACTAATAAACCAAGGTCATTCCTACCAAGAGAGGAATGTGGGCATCTGGGTGACTTTACAAGGAGGAAAATCTTCAGTGAAAATGGGTATAATCTTTAATACCAATCACTAGATTCACTGCTCAAGGGGGCGGGGGGGGGAGTCTATTTGAGTCTACTCAGAGCCGGGATACTGACACTTTCTATCTGAATGAGTTTTTCATTATTATTTAGACAAGATAGGATGAAATTGCTTAGAATTTCTGCCATTGCAAAACATTTGAAAAATGTCAGGTTAAGAAAGACTGAAGTATCTCTGTAGTTGCATGTTCTTGCTGGAAAATAATCCCATTTGTTTCATGGAATCATAAAATGTGTCTGAAGCATACATCTATTTGCTAATCTGTGAGTAAACATTATGGAAGGACCATTGTATAATATATGAATGCTTATTCTTTGATCACACAGGTGGCACTGACGACTGATATGTGCCAGCATTTAAAGCATGAAACCATGTTAGAATCTAATATTAAATGTGTTTTTTCAATAGCCCTGTACTTGTGACATCAGAAGACAACACATGTTAGGACATCACATGTAATCTTGCTGGATGGCAATGCCAAATTATAATCCAACACGTGAAGAACATCATATTGGGGAAAGCCAAAGTAATCGCAATGTATTCAATTTTGTTTTTTGCTCTTTATGCTTCAATTTACATCTTCCCCTATTCCAGTTCTGACATTTTGCCCTTATTTTTATTTTAAAACTCTACTCCTTCCACTCAGAATATTAAATTACATGAGTATGTAACAGGAGACTTTGTGGATAAATGTCAACTTTTACAGGATTTAACAGACTGGTTTCTTTAAGCTAAGAATTTGGACTAGTTAAAATTGCCTGAGGCATTTAACAATAGTATGATTCATCCATTTGAACAAAAATATTTTTTCTACAGGGGTCTTCGGCTCAAATTCATCTAGCAGTTCCTTAATGGGTTTTTGTGGCATGCTAGAGTCTGGTTAACATTGTGATAATTTGCAAGACTGCAGCACACTAAAGCTAACCCATCGGCATAGGCTTAAAGGACCACATGATTGTCTCCACAATTATCTCACAGTTCAAACTGCAAAATGGGTCAGATTAGAAATGATCAACTGAAGTTTATATCAAATAGATACAAAATAAACACCCACCTTACACTCTCTCAAGCCCAAAAGATCATCTCATCATAGTGGTTATCTACATTCCAAGAAAAGACCATCAATGGAAGTTTTGCTTGAAATACAAATTCCAGCTTTAGTGACGCTTTTTTGGGGGGAAGAATATAGAAGACACTCCTCTTTCCCCTCCCAGATTCTAGAATCCTAAGGCTTCCAGCAATCCCTATATACTTAATAACTATTGCCATATCTAATTTACCAATTGTTCTAATTTATCAATACAGTCTTTTCAATGTTAATTGAAACCCATGGAAAGAGGATCCTACCTTGGAAAAAGAGAGTTGACCTTGACCTTATGGACATATTGTTCTATACATCCTGAACTCTTGTACTCGATATGTGTTTGTCCTAGCCAGGAAAAGCTGTCCTGCCTGCTGCTGACTGAACCAATGCCAGTTAAATGGCTTATTAAAAACAGTTGGGGTGTGGTGTGTAAGTTTGTGTGTGTGCGCTTAAAAAAGGGCAGTACTTTTCTAGCCCGAGAAATGCCTAGGCTCTATATGGGTGGCAGAAAGAATGGATTACACAGTGAAAAATTCAGTTTGGTGCCTGCCTTGTGGTACGTAGGAACATAGTTCCTTTTCTATGCAGTCCTTCCCCAGAAATTTAGATGACCACACATCTCCTTAGTCGAAATAGCAGCCTACACCCAAATGTTTTTACTCTAATCTAAGCCTTCTTTTTAGGATTGCACACAGTAGAAGGCACTGTAGTTTGTTTGGGCCAGTCAGTCACTTAAAGGCAATTCCCCAGAGACACATGTTCTTCAGTCTCTGTTTATGCAAGTCTTTCTATTTACATTAACTGCAAGCTCTGTTTTGGGCAGATGTGGGGGAAAGGGTCAGCTGACAACTAAGGTTTCATTTCCTTCATGCAGTGGTAGAGTTTCTGCCAGTGTAACCACAGCATCTTCTCTTAAACAAGCTCCCTTCTATGTAGCTCTGCTCAGATTATTTATACCACCTAGACTTTGACCTGCAACATATCCAGAAAAATGAAGGGAGTGTATTATTCTGACATATTTTCGAAAACATTAACATTCCATATCACATTCTTCCATATGATTTCTGGCTCATGGCAAGTTGTGAGGACCTGTATCTCAGTACAAAAGCTGACCAACAACATTTCAATACAGAAAGTAAATAAGAAGCGGAGGTTCATTGCATTTTTGAACTATCTTTGGTCCCTTCTGCACTTTGTCATCTTCCACCTGCACAACTAAAGGAAGTGTTCAAATGGCTCTTGTGAGCCTGAGCCAAAGATTGGGCACAGATTTTTACTGAAGGCATTGGGTAAAAAAGAGGCAGCCCAATACCACACTTTTTGTTAAGACACCCTGAGATCAACCCAGTTATTTTCCTTCAGTCAAATATTTTGTACATATCATTGAACAGAGAAGGAGAGAAAGGCTGTATCTGCACTCCTGACTCTTCCCTAGTATGTCTTTAATTTTTCCTCTACTTTTCTCCTTCTACACTGAATACTTAGCCATATCACTTTTGTCAAAAATAACTTTGGTTGCAAAGTAAATGGCTACCAACCCAAAGCCGGTAGCCGATGCCATATAAGTGGTGACCGACTGTGTGAACTGAACCAGTGAACCCATAAGAAGGGACGGGATAACCTGGGAAAGAAGAAACGCACTGTCCAAGATGGCCAGATCTGAACAGATGCCTCGGCTCGCCGCTGCAGTATCTGAATCTCCCACCATCATCATGAGCGAAACTTCACATGGTGAGCTGACACAGAGGGAAGAGCCAGCAACAGGGGGAGAATACAGGCCACCACTGTGTCCATTCTGGTAGGTCAGCTTCTGCGTAGAAAGGTGGTTTTTGAGGAACCCCAGTTTCTTTTCTGATTGAGCTGCATTCTCTTTACTTTTATACTTAGGCAAATATATCTGAAAGTACAAGAAAATAAAAGATAATAAGATGTCGGAACACAATTCAGCAAAGATATAGAAACCACAGCATACAATATGAAAGATATGATTAGATGGAACAGAGAAAAGTGAGGATGAAAGTTTTTAAATAGAGATCAACAGAAGAAACAAAAAATAGCTGTTTTCTAGAAATTAAAAATGTTGTTCAAGCTATTTCACATGAATTGAGGATTCATTTAAAAGAAAGAGCTCAAAGCAGTTTGGTATTATTTACTATTTAGTTACCACTTAAGTTTATTTACCATTTAAGTTTATATAATGTCAACCTGGTCAAAGAGTTTTATCCAAAACAGAAGAGTCATTCCAGAAAGATGATAGTCCTAAGAGGACAGTACGGTTCAAGGGCATGCATGAAATGCAACCGACTTACACGGCTTGCGCACTGGAAGCTTCAGACAGAGTTAGTCTTGCTGGCTCTCACAACACTGGAATGGCAGCTGTTATGAAGAAACCACTTCAGAAGAAAGAAGCAAAAAGATAGAGGAAGCAGACATAAAGGTCTGACAAAAGGCAAAGAAAAAAAGCGGAGGCATAGGTAGAACTGTATCATCCTACAAAGGTCTACAAAGAAGATACAGATAATGGGAACAGCTGCTTTGGACATATCATGACTGGGATACAAAACTGGCAAAGTAGCATAGTGACAGTTTTAACAATTTGGTATTTGGTATTTTATTATTTGTATGCCGCCCTTCTCCGGGAGGACTCAGGGCGGCGAACAATTCAAAGGGGGAA